CGGAATTGGGCCAATCCGAAGCCAGGAGCCATGAACTTCTTCCGGGTCTCCCACGTGGGTGCAGAGGCCTAAGCACTTGGGCCATTTTCCACTGCTTTCCCAGGCACATTGTCAGGGAGCTGGGTTGAAAGAGTAGCAGCAGGGACATGAACAGGGGCCTATTTCGGGTGCTGACACTGCAGGCAGAGGCTTAACCTACACCACAGTGTCAGCCCCTTGTGTGATTTATATTTTAATTAATCAATTTGCAAGGTAGAGGAGATGGGGCTGACGCCATGGCTCCGTTGGTTAATCCTCCAACTGCAGCACCGGCATCCCATATGGGCGACGGGTTCTAGTCCCGGTTGCTCCTCTTCCAGTCCAGCTCTCTGCTGTGGCCCGGGGAGGGAGGGGCAGTGGAGGATGGCCCAAGTGCTTGGGCCCCTGCACCTGCATGGGAGACCAGGAGGAGGCACCTGGCTCTTGGCTTCGGATTAGCGCAGTGCTGGCCGTAGTGGCTATTTGGGGGGTGAACCAATGGAAGAAAGCCCTTTCTCTCTGTCTCTCTCTCTCTCTCTCACTGTCTATAACTCTACATGCCAAATAATAATAATAAAAAAGGTAGAGGAGATTGGCAGACACACACACACACACACACACACACACACACAGATCAAGATCCACTGATCTGGCCGGCGCCGCGGCTCACTAGGCTAATCCTCCGCCTGCGGCGCCGGTACACCGGGTTCTAGTCCCGGTCGGGGCGCCGGATTCTGTCCCGGTTGCCCCTCTTCCAAGCCAGCTCTCTGCTGTAGCCTGGGAGTGCAGTGGAGGATGGCCGAAGTGCTTGGTCCCTGCACCCCATGGGAGACCAGGAGAAGCACCTGGCTCCTGCCATTGGATCAGCGCGGTGAGCCGGCCGCGGCGGCCATTGGAGGGTGAACCAACGGCAAAGGAAGACCTTTCTCTCTGTCTCTCTGTCTCTCACTGTCCACTCTGCCTGTCAAAAAAAAAAAAAAAAAAAAAAAAGGATCCACTGATCTTCTATCCATTGGTTCACTTCTTAGCTGCCTGTAACAGCTTGGGCTGGATCAGACTAATGCCAGGAGCCAGGAACTCATTCTAGGTCTCCATGTGGGTGGCAGGGAACCAAGTACTTGAGCCATTATCTACTGCCTCCCAGGGTGTGCATTAGCAGGATGTTGGATCCAGGTAGAGTAGCAGGGAGTCCCAAACAGAGTTCTAACTGCTCTGCCAAATCTCTGCCCCCCACCATGTGATTATTTTTTTTTTTAATTTAAGATTTATTTATTCACTTGAAAGGCAGACCTACAGAGAGAAGGAGAGACAGAGATCTTCTATCTGTTGATTCACTCTCCAAATGGCCCCAACAGCCAGAGCAGGGCCAGGCCAAAGCCAGGAGCTTCTTTCAGGTCTCTCACATGGATGCAGGGGTCCAAGGACTTGGGCCATCTTCCGCTGCTTTCCCAGGTGCATTAGCAGGGAGTTCGATCAGAAGTGGAGCAGCTGAGATGCAAACTGGTGCCCAAATGGGATCCCAGGGTTGCAGGCTGTGGCTTAAACAGCTACACCACAGTGCTGGTCCCTCACATGTTTATTTTGTGCTGGTATCTGATGAACTGTGCCTGCACATTCCTGGCTTCTCCAGTACCTCCATGGCTCATGGCCTTGGGCAAAGTGTGTATCAGAATCTGGGATTCAGAATGACTTTTGTCAAGACCACTGCTGGAAAGCAAGGGTCTTGGATCCTTTCTGGGAGCTCTGGGCCATTGCTGGATATTCGCACATCAGGGGTGGTGTGAGGAGAGAGTGGGTGAGGTGCCACTTGGATTCCTTCAGCCCTTGGGCCCCATGACAGGCTGTTTAGGGCCCTGGGGCCTGATCGTGGCCACCTTCTCCTCTGTTCAGTCATCCCTGGCAGATTGTCCCTTCGCTCAGTGGAGTCTCCGTGGGTTGCACACATTTAGGCTCTTTATTCTTGGCAGTTTAGCTTCCTTTTCTTGCACTGCACGTATAGGAATGCTGAATCTTGGGCCCTGGGAACCTCCAGAAACACGTGTCTATTTCCCCAGAAGTTCACCTTTCATTGTGTTCTCTGAAATTCCTGTACCCCCAGCCCCCACCCCACCCCCAGAATGGACTGCTATGTGCTGGCCGGAGGTGCAGGTTCTCACTCCTGTCCAGGGCAGGCAGGTCCGCATCTTAGGGAGTGGAGCTAGGGGTGCATCTGTGTTCTTTTGTGTCATTGCTCAGAGCACTACCTTCTCATGGGACATTCTGGTCTGCCTTGCCTTGAAAAATTGCTGAGGAAGAGGTCGGTGGGGGAACGGAGAAGGCAGGCCATGGGGTTTGAGCCAGTTGGCCTGTGGTGTGGCCTTTAGGGTAGGATACAGTTTATGGAAATTGAGTTCAGGTTGTTAGGTGACTTCTCGAGTCCTTCGCACCTTCTGGTCCTGCTGCTGAGTCCACTCTTCCATTGCTTCTTCCTGCGTCTGGCTCACGCTTGCCCTTCAACTCAGGTGTAGTGATAGTGACCGTTTTTCTGGCCCTCTGTCCATCGCAGCTCCCCACCCAGTTTGTGCCATGTTCTCCCTGAAGCGATCTCATTCATGTGCATGTTTAAGGTCTTATTGTCTGCATCCACCCAGGAGAATGTGGGATCCAAGAGGGCAAAGGTATTGCCTTGTTCTCTGCTGAACCCTGGCACATAATAGATGCTCAGTAAATGTTCCTGAGTGTCAGAGTGGAGGCACACCCAATGAGGGACGTGAGGTGAGGCTGGATGGTGGTTAAGAGTAGTAAAGTGTAAAAGAAATGGCCTTCAGGAGCTTGGAGCTGAAAGGAGCTCATCACCTCCAGATACAGCCTTCTCTGTTGGAGGAAGGATGTGGGGGCAGAGAACCAGACAAGTCCCTGAGCCCCCCAATGCAGACCGGATGTGGTCCCCAGGCTTCTGCATGCCACCACTCTGGTCCTTCTGTAGTACATCCTGACCATCTGTCCTTTATCCGTATCCATCCCAGAGGGCTGGCCTTGCTTCTCTGCCCTCACCAAGGTTCCTGAGCCCCTTACCAGAACTCGGAGTGATTCTGAATCATTGTTACCACCTCTTTGGCTGAGGCAAAGAGTCATCAAGCCAAAAGCCGTTGCCATTATTTAGGCACCTTCCAGGTCAAGTTCTGGTTGTTCAGGCCCCTGTGACTGCACTGGGTATGAGTGTGGGGGATTGTGCATTTATTATTGTTTTTGAAGATCGATTGATTGATTTGAGAAGCAGTTATAGACAGAGGGAGAGATAGAAAGAGAGATCTTCTATCCTCTGGTTCACTCCCCAAATGTCTGCAATGGCCAGAGCTGAGCAGATATGAAGCCAGGAGCAAGGAGCTTCTTCTGGTTCTCCCAAGCACTTGGGCCATCTTCCATTGCCTTCCCAGGCCATTAGCAGAGAGCTGGGTTGGAAGAGGAGCATCCTGGACAAGAACCGGCGCCCACATGGGAAGCTTGTGCCACCGGAGGAGGCTTAGACTACTACACCAATGCACTGGCCCCTGGGACTATATACTTCATTCTTTTGTTGTCTCCTGGATTTTTCTGAATCACTCCATAATTAATTTATTAATTGTGGCCCTAGCTGTGTTTTAAAAAATTCAATCCTTACATCCATGTTCGTAATGGTTGGTGTAGATATCCTCTGATTCGTATCATCTTGAGTCAGTTCACGCCTCTTTATAGGAGATTACTGGTATGGCGGGTGCATTGGGATCCACTGGAGGACTTTTGGTGAGAAGTTTTGCTTCTTCACTTTGGTAAAAATTGTCATTCAAATATGAAAATGGGTACATGCTTTTTCTTTCTTTTATTTTTCATTTTTTTTTTAAAGTCAGAGAAAGAGACTGAGACGGACAGAAAGAAGAGATGTTCCATTCTGTGGTTCATTCCCCAAATGCCTGCAACAGGCAGAGCTAGGCCAGGCCAAAGCCAAGAGCCCAGAACTCAATTGTGGGTGGCAGGGGCCCGGGTACCTGAGCCATCGCCTGCTACCGACCTGGGTGTACATTCCCAGGAAGCTGGGTAGGAATCAGAGGAGCAAGGACTCAAACAGGGTGCTCTGAGCCTCAGACGTCCTAAGTGACAGCTCAAGTGGTGACTTAACTGCTGAGCAAAATGTCTGCCCCTGCAGCTTTTCCCTTAGGGCAATAAAAACAACCAGGAATGGCTGTTCGTCACGGAGGTCACGTCTACCTGTGTGTGCCTCAGCCACTTAGCTCATTGACTCAAGAAACATTTATGGAGGAAGGGCAGGAAAGGCAGTTGTGTGCCAGGCACTGCCCTGGTGCTGACCTTGCAGCCAACAAGTAAACTGGCAGTGTCCTTATTCATGGAGTTTACGTCCTGTGGCAGACGGACAGCAGACAGGCCCATCTAGAATCTGATGCTGGGAGTGATCAGGGTCATGAGAGTGGAGCTGAGACAGGGAGCCAGGGGGATGGGATGGAGACAGAGCTGGCTTGGGCCAGCCAAGATCTCCCTGAGAAGGTGACATCTGAGCAGAAACCCAGAAGAACCAGAGAGCTGCCACATGGATGTCCAGGGGAAGACCAGAATCCCCATCGTGGCTGGTGAGCTCCCGAGCCCTGGACATGGACTTTGTCACAGGGGGAGGAGGAGTGGAGGTGAGACAGTGTGGGCAGAACTGTTCTCTCTACCTCCAGGTCGTCACAGGGTCAGCTGGAGGAAGATCGTGGCATTCATTGTGTGCTCTGATGGTCGACCAGAAGGCTCACCTGGAGCAAGGACATTGTCTGAAACCACCCCTGTGAAATGAGCAGAACCTGGGGCACTGCTGGAGTCTAACCCTGCACAGAGCAAGACTTACTCGCCCCTCCTGCCCTGGCCAGGGATGCCTTCCTCTTTTGTGTCATTTGAGTCTATCTGCCTCGTCACCTGGACGGGAAGTAGTCACTGAGTAGGGCTTGATGGGAAAACTGAAGCGATGACAATCAGTAGGATCGGGGACCAGGAGGTGCATGCTTCCTGCTCTCAATGCTGTAGCCATTGCTCCACGTGTGCAGGTGTCTGTCTGAGAATACCATAGAGAGGGAGCTCACTCAGCAGCCGCTAGTGAATTCCAGTGGACTTGAAAGTCAGCCCCCTGTGCTGCTGGGCTCTGTACCCAGAAACTCTTGAGGCCTCTGCCACCATTCTGGGGCATACTCTGGGAAATTGAGGTATGGGGTGTGAATAACTTTCTGACAACTGCATCCAACCATGTCACGAGAATTGGAGGGGAGGAGGATCTTCCCAGATTTATTTGGGAAGCAGTGATGTCAGGAGAATGGTCTGTTTCCAAATATTTCTGCTCGGCCTCCCTTTGGTGCATATTCTGTGTTTCAGCTTTTGGAGGGCAGAAGCCGCTCCTGGCTGAACACCTGGACCCTGGCAGAATGCCGGTGCACTGGGAGGATTTATGGGGTGTTGGATGGATGCCCCAGAGCCTCTGGGTGGCCACGGAACAAATCGCTGCCTTCATTCCCCAGGTGTCTCTTGGCTTTTCTAGGGTGGACCTGCAAGTTTGGGCAGAACTGCACAAGGGGTCCAAGTCAGAACCAGGATGTTCCAGAATGAGAGGTTGGAACACTTACCTGGAGTTGGAGCACGGAGCATGTCCCTGGTCCCTAAAGGGCACCTGACACTGTCTAGGGCATTGTTCAGCTTTATCTCCAGCCACATGTGGGGTGCTCGGACAGAGCCCACCCCAACATCTCCCACATAACCCAAAGCCTTCTCCACTCACATGCCTTGTACCCGCTGGTCTCACCACTTGGCATGGTGTTTTGCTTGTATCTCCTTGGAGAGCTTTCCCCCCTGCCCTTAGAGCTCTGTGGCCTTCTCTCTGTTGTCTTCCCTTTTGGCTGGATAAACACACGCTGTTTTGCACAAAAAACCCTGACTACATTCTTCTTATACACAAATGCAAACAAGCCACAAGTTGTGGAGTAAAACATGAAACCTTACCTCCCCTATGCCCCACTTGCCTCCCAAGAGAATGTTTATGATTTACCAGACATGCATTTCTTATGATTTTACATACAGGTGGGTACACACCTGCTCATTGTATATGTGCTGCTCACCAACTAATTTTTTTCAGCTTATGTCTAAGATTGATTTATCTGTCTGTAAGCATACTTCAGAAAGTTCACGGAATATGAAATTAAAATGTTTGTGTTAGTGTAAAACATTTTGAAATCCATGCATAACATTTTCATAATCAGCATTTTCCATAAGCATTTTTTCTTTAAATGTGTGGATTTTAATTTTTAAAAAACTCTCTCTTTCCTTTGGGGGGAAGACTCTGATCTGCTGGCTCACTTGTCAAATGTCTGCCATGACTAGGGCTAGGCCAGACCAAAGTCAGGGGTGGATAGCCAACCCAGGTCTCACTTGTGGGTGACAGGGACACAGCCATCTGAGCTGTCACCTCCTGCCTCTTCCAGGGTACGAATTAGCAGGGAGCTAGAATTGGGAGCAGACCTAGGACTTGAGCCCAGGCACTCTAGTTTGGGATAGGGGCAAACTAACTGGCTCCTTAGTCATTAGGCCAAATGCCTGTCCCCATTCTGAGTTAATTTTTTATAGGAAACAGAGGCAGGGGGAGGGTTCCTTTTTGCATGTGGATATCCTATTGTCCTAGCACTATTTGTTGGAAAATTGTTCTGTCCTATTTAAACGTCTTGATGCCTTGTCAAAAACCGGTTGACCATAAATTGTTTATTTCTTCCCTCTCAACTTTATTAATCTGCCTCTCATTATGCTAGTACTGCTATATGTACGGTCTTGATCAGTATAACTTTGTGGTCGGTTTTAGAATAAGAAAGTATGAGTCTTCCACCTCTGTTCTTCCTTTTGAAGGTCTTTGGGCTGTTCTGGGTCCCTGTGTAAATTCTAGGGTTAGCTGGTCAAAAGAGCAGCTGAGATTCTGGTAGGAATTGTGTTGACTATTTAGATCACGTAGGGAGTTTTGCCCTCTTGACAGCGTGCAGTCTGGACCTGCTGTATTCCTTGTTACTGGTGTATCGCTCAGCTCCTGTAGTCAGTGAATTCGTTGGGTAGACCCTCAGAGGCCGGTTCCTCAAGCCTCACAGACTGGAATCCAGGGACATACCACTTTTCCTTGCTGGAGAAAGTGACACAGTGCAGTGTAGTGTCTGATTTAAGGCTGGAGACCTCAGAGAAAATGTTTAATTCCTGAATTGATGCAATGGGATGCATCTGGCACTGGCCACACCGGTGGCCACCTGGCTTCCCTTTATATGAAGGGTGGGATGGGAAGTCCTAAGTCCGCATCTCCATGCCCTGAGAAGTGTGGTGAGAACTGGGGCCTCAGCCCTGGAGCACGACACAGTAGTGGGCATGTTGGTGTGAGCCCTGGCTTAACCTCTTGGGTGCGGAGGTAGGATTTCATCTGGGTGAAGCATTCTGCCCCCAAAGTACTTATTGCCTCTGCCCCAATTCGCTGAAGAATGGAATAAAAATGAGAAAGCAATAGCTTCACACATCAGAAGTTTCGTTTCCACCCTACACGCACTTATATGTTCCAGATGCGGTGCTTTGGCACGAATCTGAGATCTTATTGTCAAGGCAGAAGAAATAACAAGCAAAGCGCCTGCATTTGTGTCTCTGGGAGCTTTGTTTTCCAAACAGTGAACAGCCTGGGAAACCTCAAGCTCACTCCTGCTTCGGCTTACTCTCAGCTGGGGTGAAGAGCTCCTGTTTTAGTTATAAAGAGCTCTTTGTTTTCTTTTTTTTTTTCCTTTATTTGAAAGGCAGAGAGAGAGGGAGAGAGAGAGAGATGGGGGGGGAGAGCGAGAGAGAGAGCGAGCGAGCTTCCATCCACTGGTTTGCCCTCCAGTGCCTGAACCAGCTGGGATTGAGCCAGGCGAAAGCCAGGAACTCAACCCAGGTCTCCCATTTGGGTGGCAGGGGCCCAAGTACTGAGTCTGTGCCTGCTGCCTCCCAGGTTGTGCAGCAGCAGGAAGCTGGAATTGGGAGCCTGGCCAGGATTGAAATGCAGCCGTCCTGATATGGCACATGGGTGTCCTAGTGGTGTCTTAACCACTACACCAAACTCCTGCCAAAAGAGCTGTGTTTTAAGCAGAAACGTGAGTGTGTGTGTGTGTGTGTGTGAGAGAGAGAGAGAGAGAGAGAGAGAGAGAGATTGCTTGTTACTGTTGTTGTTTCCAAAAAGCAATTTTAAAACAGATCCATTGGGGTTGAATTTTTAGTTTGTTTTTGAAAGGGGAAGGGTTACATGCAGTAGAAATTGTTTTGAAATCTTCAAAATCTAAGAGACTTTGATTTTATAGATTCTTTTTTCTGAAACTGTTAGCACAGGCACTTCATTTGGGATTTTGTTTCCATCCTTTAGTAAGGGGTGTGTGAGCATGCGCAAGCACATGGAAAGTTAGGGGAAAAACACAATGATATAACCCAACCCCCAAACAAGGAAGCGTGTTACAGAGCTGAGGTTTAGCACTTTGGCTCCTGCCTGGGCTCAGAAGGTGCAGCTTAGCTGACCTTGTGTAACCTCTCTCTCGATGACACATCTCCCAAGGGGCCCAGGAAGACTGAGTCTCTCCAGTATGACTTTAATTTTACACATGCTCTGTGCAGTCTTGCAAACTCAAGTGGCTTTCTTAACCAATCAATCACATGTTGTGTGTTCCGAGCTGGGCAGGGCCTTGCTCATCTTTGGCCAATGTCGTGAGTCAGAACATATTTAAACGACTGCCTGAGTCCTGTTCAGGAGGAGAAAGTTGGCCAGTTAATTTTGGGATGTGCAGGCGCTCTTAAACAACATGGCAGGGCCGGCGCCGCGGCTCAATAGGCTAATCCTCCACCTAGCGGCGCCGGCACACCGGGTTCTAGTCCCGGTCGGGGCGCCGGATTCTGTCCCAGTTGCCCCTCTTCCAGGCCAGCTCTCTGCTGTGGCCCTGGAGTGCAGTAGAGGATGGCCCAAGTGCTTGGGCCCTGCACCCCATGGGAGACCAGGAGGAGCACTTGGCTCCTGCCTTTGGATCAGCACAGTGCGCCGGCCACAGCGCTCCAGCCGTGGCGGCCAGGTGAACCAACAGCAAAAGGAAGACCTTTCTCTCTGTCTCTCTCTCTCTCACTATCCACTCTGCCTGTCAAAACAAAAACAAAAACAAACATGGCAGGGGTTACATACAGGTGTTAACAGCTTTATTTTTGTGTGACAGCAAATGCTTATAAAGGAAGTTAACATGGTACTTTTTTTTTAAAGATTGATTTATTTTTTTGAAAGGCAGAGTTAAACAGAGAGAAGGAGAAGCAGAGCAATAGAGACAGAGAGAGAGAGAGGTCTTCGATCCTCTGGTTCACTCCCCAGTTGACCTCACCGGCTGGAGCTGTGCTGATCTGAAGCCAGGAGCCAGGAGCCAGGAGCTTCCTCCTGGTCTTCCATGCAGGTGTGGGGACCCACAGACCTGGGCCATCTTCCACTGCATTCCCAGGCCACAGCAGAGAGCTGGACCAGAAGTGGGGCAGCCGGGTCTTGAACTGGCACCCATATGGGATGCCAGCACTGTAGGCGGCGGCCCCACCTGCTCTGCCACAGCACCAGCCCCAACATGCTACTTTTTAAAAAAGATTTTTATTTATTTACTTGAGAGGTATTGTTACTGACAGGGAGAGGGAGAGACAGAAAGGTCTTCCGTCTGCTAGTTCACTCCCCAAATGGCCGCAATGGCCAGAGCTGGGGCAGTCCAAAGTCAGGAGTGGTGAACTTCTTCCAGGTCTCCCATGTGGGTGCAGGGGCCCAAGCACTAAGGCCATTCTTCACTGCTTTTCTAGGCACATTAGCAGGGAGCTGAATTGGGAGAAGAGCAGCCAGGACCCAAACCAGCACCCATATGGGATGCCAGCAATAGGCAATGAATTTACCCACTATGCCACAGTGTAGTCTCCCATTTCCTATTTCTTAATTGCTAAAGGAGATAGGTATGTAACCTAAATTTACATCATGGACTGTTTTTTTTTAATTTATTTTATTTATGTAAAAGACACACTTATAGAGAGAGGTAGTGACAGAAAGAGAGAGAGGTCTTCCATCTGCTGATTTACTCCCCAAATGGCCACATTTGGGAGCTGAGCTGGTGTGAAGCCAGGAGCTTGGAGCTTCCTCTGGGTCTCCCGCATGGGTGCAGGGGCCCAAGTATTTGGGCCATCCTAAGCTGCTTTCCCAGGTACATTAGCGGGGAGCTGGATCAGAAGTAGAGCAGCCAGGACATGAACTGACACTAGTAAGGGATGTTGGCATTGTAGGTGGTGGCTTAACCCACTAGAGCATAGTGCTGGTCTCAAGGGTTTGTTGTTGTTAATCTGCCTCCTTATCTGATGACTTGAAATTTCATGCAAGGACAGGTCCTTAAGGATGATTTCTAATAGGAAATCACTTGTTTGGGGGGGGGATGTTAGGGTTTGGTGATGTATAAGATATATTTTTCCATCTAGCTCTTTACTAAGAAATTTATTTTAAGCTATTGGCTTATGTAATTGTGGAGGCCTGGTGAATCCAAAGACTGCAGGGTAGGCAGGCAGGCTAGAGACCCACGGAAGAGTTGTAGCTCAAGTTCAAAGGCTGTCATTAGCAGAAATTCTCCTTGCTCAGGCAGTCACTGATTGAGTGAAACCCACCCACACTGTGGAGTATAATCTGCTTTACCAGGTCTGTGGATTTAGTATTAATCTCATCCAAAAAACACCTTTACCAAAATCTCTAGAATAATGTTTGACCAAGTGTCCGGTCACT